TTTTTTTTCTATTTAAAAAAATTTAACTTTTTTTGTTAAAAACTAAGGCACAAACACTCACTTTAGCCTGGGTCTACACAGGGTCAAGGTCATCAATATCACTGTCTTCTATCTCCATGTCTTGCCCGCTGGAAGGTTCTCAGGAGCAATAACATACATGGAATTGTGATCTCCTATTGCAATAATACCTTCTTCTGGAACACCTCCTGAAGGGCCTTCCTGAGGCTATTTTAAGTTAACTTTTCTTTTTTTATAAGTATAAGGAATACACTCTAAAATAATGATAAGCTATATAGTGTAGTATGCTGCAGTCTGGCTAGACACAAAATCACGAGCCACTCAAGCAGGAACAAACTTTATTATTTGAAAATGCTGCCAATGCCCCCTACGCCCCTGGGAACAATCCCGATCGACCCACAGGGCGTTCTCCGGGCATCCCAGAGGAAGTTCTTCCCCTGGAATTCCCTCCTACTGTACTTCCCCAACCAATGGGAACTCTCCAGGAGTCCTCTAGCAGGTCGAGGTGAACAGCAGGAGTCCAATATCCATATGAATGCAAATCTTAACATAATCATATCATCTCAATGGCTAGCTGGCATCACCTTTCAACCAAAAATGCCATGCATCATATTACTTGGCTGTGGCTCTTAGCAGTAGTAAATACATAAATTAGTAAAAATAGTTTGTTATTATCAAGTGCTGTGTTCTATTCATAATTGTATTACTATACTTTTATATGACTGGCAATGCAGTGGTTTGTTTACACCAGCATGTCCATAAACGTGTGAATTATGCATTGGGCTATAACATTATGACAGCAAAGATATCACTGGGTGATAGGAATCTTTCAGCTTCATTATAATCATACATGTGGTCCATTATCTACCAAAACTTTGTTATGTGGCTCATGGCTGTAAAACATTCACCACTTTGGGATGTTGTGAGTAATAGATTAAGAAAATGTGTTCAGCACCTAGTACATTGTAGTAGACACATAATACTAAAAACAAAAACATTGATTGAGCCCATACTGTGTGGCAGCACTGTTCCTAGTAATTTACATATATTACTTTAAGTAATCTCATTAACAATTCAATGATGCACCTATTAGTATTATCTGATGAGAAATCTGAAGCACAAATATTTAACTTGCACAAGGTTGGTTGCTTAGTAACTATTCTAATTCTTGAATGTCTTGCTACATGCTATAGCCAAAGGACAGTTCTTTGGTTTTGTTTCTCTTTAAACTGTTTTAAAGTTGACAGTTGATGTTGTTAAGCACTCTTCTATTAAATACTCCTCATCCCTTGACCTCTAGGACTCTCCTCTGTTCAGCTTTTCTTCTTTCTTCTCTGATTGCTACTTTCCAGTCACCTCATTGAGCCACATTTTAAATTCCACATTTTTCTCCTATTTCTCCAGTTCTTCTTTCTTGGAGGAACCCATACAATATGACAAATCAGTTTCTGCCTTTCCACTGTTGATTGTGTTTCCCCTCTTTCAACTCTAGGTTAGCATTTCTATGTGCCCTCAGGGTCTCATTGCATATGAGTCAGGTATACTTTTTGAAATTTCAGTGTCTTTCATTTCTTCCTTATTCTACTGTTGCAATTTTGTTGATAATTGAAATGTTTTTCAAATTTAGATGTTTCTATCAGCTACTGATTTACGCCTGATCTAGGGTCTTTATCATATCTTACTTGGTTTATTAAAGTCATTTCTTACTGTTTTCAGTTCCTTTCTGACATAGGTGTTATATTTTTACAGGTTTAACACCCACTTCTGCCAATTTCTACATCATGCTGTCTCCAGTGTCACCTTCAGTGTTACATGGCCTTTCCACCTTCTATAAGTTTGGAGTACCAATACCTGCTCAACTTTATCCATAGGCTCCCTCCCAGCTGGTTTCTCCTCTCTCCTCATTTTCCTAGACAGAGGATGTGTCTTACCGCAATTCTCTAGGAATAATTCTTCACAACTCTGCATTTTCTCTACTATTCCCCTATAAGCTCCTTGAAACCTAGCACCATTCACAGCAGGATTTCAAATCTTCCATTTTGGGTGAACACTATGGAATCTTGAATATTTTTCTGTACAATATGTTTTGCTATGAGATGTCTCTAGAGAAAGCATAACCTTACGGCTTAGAGTGTGTGTCCAGCTATGGAGATTCCTTTCTAACTGTTCTAGAATGAGGCTTGTTACTAGCATTAAGGAAATCTTCAAAAGGAGAGGAAAAGGAAGAAAGGTACCCTTCTCTCCTGTATGAACTTGGGCAAATGACACCTTTCCGAGTACTGGTTTTTCAATAGCAAAATGAGGATAATAGGTATACAGACTTTTTGACCCAACCAGAGAATTAAATAAGATTATACATACAAAAGGCTTGTGGTACAGTGTCTGACACACAAGCAAAAGAGTTCAATATTTCATGATTATTTTTGAACTTACTGCCGGAAGGCTGAAGACTTGGGAGGTTAAGAGATAACTCTGAGGTCCCTTCCAAATACTAAAATCTGGGGATACACTCCCGTGGGTGCTGGGGAAATGCTAACAATCCTTGGATTTCCATCAGTTGCCTAGAAAACCAGGTCAGTCTTGGTGTCTTTGCAGGAGTCATTTATTTGACCTCCTGATAGGAGAGCTTCCACTTTGTCCAAATCACCACGTGGGTGAAATCCTTCCTTTGTTGTTAACTCTTGGCCCCAAACCCAGAATTTGGGCGTGTAGAGCCCTCAGGTCCATGGTTTCTGCCAGGAGGCGCTTTCCAAGTTCGAGGCAGGCACTCCGTTTTCTATGGGTGTGGTCCAGATTGCAACCTTAGCGCCACTCATCCCAGAATGTGCCTTGGGACAGACGCTGCAAGAAGTAGTGGAAGGGGTGCTTGGTTTTGCATCACGGCAGATGAACTGGGTGGCGAGAGCGTCCGAAGAAGCACGCACATGCTCACACTCTCCAAGCTTGGGCGCGGCTGTTCCGAGTGCGAGGTTCGAGTCGAGTTCGGTCCGCGCTACGCCAGAAGCCGACAAGCGCCCCCGGTATTCGGTGGGCTCCCAAACGAGGGCCGCCGCGAGCCTTCCCCGCGGCGCGCACCTCTGTTCCAGCCCCGCCCCCCGGCGGCAGCGAGTGGCGGGCGGAGCGCGAGGCTAGAGGCGCGCTGGGCTGCGCGGCGCCACCTCCCCTCCGCGCTGGAGGAGGGACCGAGGGGCCGGGCGGGAGAGAGAGAAAGCCCGACCGGCCGGCTGGGGAAGAGCTGCATGCAACCGGTGGGAGGCCGGGCCGGCTAGGGCTCCGGCTTGAGCTCGGAACGTTTCTTGGCGGGTCTCTGGCGGCGAGCGCGGACCGCCCGGCGGCGGCGGCTCTGAGCTGGCAGGCGGAGGGCTGTCTCCCGCGCCCGCCTGCCCGGCGCGGTCCGAGGATGCGGGGGGGCGATGCCCGGGGCCAGGGACGCGCTCTGTCACCAGGCGCTGCAGCTGCTGGCCGAGCTCTGTGCCCGTGGGGCCCTGGAGCACGACAGCTGCCAAGATTTCATCTACCACCTGCGGGACCGTGCCAGACCCCGGCTCCGCGACCCAGGTGAGTGCTGCCACCGCCGCCGCCGTCTGGCGCGACCAAAAGGGCCCTAGGCTGGGACTTGGGGATGACCGGGGCCTGAAGCAGAAGAGCGACGCGGACTGGCGGAGGGCAGGGGGTGGCCACTGAGCCTAAAGAAGGATCAAGAAGCAGTGTGCCCCGTGGCCCGATGCTAGAACCGGGCAGGACCCGGGCGGGACCCGGGCAGAGGCTGCTGAACGGAGGCCGAGTTAGGGTGGGCAGGGATAGGGCAGGAGGAACCACGCCCGCCACCTGCGCTCCCCTTTACAGGGTTCCTGGGGGCAGCTCCTGAGCTCTAATATTGGAGCTCTACTTCCCAGTCTCTGCGTCTTGAGCCAGGGGAGGCCCGGCGGCCTCCCAAGCTATGAAAAGAGGGACGAGGCCGGAGGAAACTCTGGGAAGTTGGGAGTTGGGAACGGACCCCGGCTGCGGCTGAATCCCACAGGGAGCTGCTTACCTTGGCTCCTAAGCACCTAGTTTCTTTCCTTGGTCTGGGCTGAAAAGGACGGGACGGGATCTGGAGGTGGGAAGCTACTGGTTCTGGGCAGCTGGGCCTGAACCCATTCCCTGCGGGTCACAAGGCGCGGAGATGGCCTGGGCCTGGGCGCCTGACTCCAAGGCACCTCCGCCCAGCACACTAGGGTGGGTTTTCTGGTCATGGCTTGTGCACCTGCTGTTATCCCTAGTGAAAGTTGAGAAGCTCCTAACTTTGGAAAGTTAATTTATTTTGGCATTTGACCAATTAAGGTTGGAGGAGGGAGTTTTAGTGATGCCATTTGATTTCCCCAAGGGCGCCTGGTCTCGCATTCTTCTCATCCACTACTAGTTCATTCCTTCCAAATGTTTGCATGAGAGTCTTCTCACCTGGAGAGATTGTTTTCCTGAATATTCTCCTAACCTAAGAACTTTCAAATTAAAAAAAAAAAGCATATTGTGGTTGGATTGTTTAAAATGGGATGAGAACATGGCCTTTCCTTTGATATTCCTGTGTGTAATAAATATTAGCAATGAGCTATTGCTGTGCAAATTATTCAGTGCCAGTTTACCTCATTTTAAGCCAATCCATTATATAAAAATACATTTGCCCAAAGGATATATTAGAGAATTATTTGACTCCTAAAGAGATTCACACTGAGCCTGACTTAAATAGAATATCCTTGATAGGATATTCAAGATATGTGTGGAAAATGCAGCCGTTTAAAGTTTATATCAGATTTTCCGTACTCAAAGCATTTTTTTTCTCTTGAAAAAGAATGATTATTGTTCTGTACTGCCTGTGGGTTACATTAGTAAGTTTATCAAATGATCACTAATGTGTTACCTCAAAGAGGATTCAGTGATCCTAGTTGGATTTCCCAGGAGGTTTAGTATCCAGCTTGTGTGTGGCTCATTGCTAGATGCTTTGCCCTGCATAGATCAGAGATGCTGATGAAGTGCTCCTCTCACCAACACAAGTCCCAGAAATATGTCCTAAGTGTGTGATGTTCTGGTCTTACACAGCAAGATTACAAGATCATTTTTTAACATGCTTCACGCAAAGCAAGTGTTAGTGCTAAAATGTCTTGCTTTGTTACCTGACACTGTGTCATGGGCTCTCCTTGTTATCCCACAAAAGCCATCATCTTTGGCTTTATAAGAGAAGGTGGGTGGGCTTGTCTAAATTGCATGTTTACCACACCAAACCATTTGGGCCACTTGGCCGCTCTGCTCCTTGGAATGGAGGGACTGAATTCCATGTTCTTAGGCTCTCCTCAGGCCCTACACTGGCCAGCCCTCGAGGAAGAGCCACAGAGAATACTCTTTAGAGAGGAAATCTGATTCCTTGGCTGAGAAATAGCTGTAGATAGGAGTCTGCCCTGCTGCTCTTTGAGTTCCTGAAAGCAGTGCTCTGCTTTCTTAAACTAGGGCACATGGTTTTGAGGTAGCCGCATGCCCCTCTGGCTCTTTAGTTTGTGTCAGAAAGTAGCCTGCTCATGAGGCAGGGGAGGGAGACTGCAAGTGCAAGGTGAGAGGAAATGAGGCCAAAGATGACATCAAAAGTGCACCCTTTCCTTCAGGGCACTTCAGCTCAGGCCAAATCTCCCTCCATTTCCTTCCTTGCTTGCCTTGCTCACATTAATTCTTACATCAGATGCATTTATCTCCGTCCCGCTGAAGCTGTTTGTGCAAGCCAAGAGTGGCCTTAATCTGTGAGCCCTAAAAGCTGAGTGGCTGGAGAAGCTACACTGCACAACACTATGTGAATAAAGCTATTGTGTGGTGTGAAGCAGAACAATTGTGTAGAGGGGCCTTGGTGTATGGGTCCCCAGAGAGAGTTGTCTGTAGATGGGTGACTTCCATTTTTTTTTTTAAAGAAATCCATCTGAATGCCACCTTCCAGCTTTCTTTGCCTATTGTCTGTTCATACCCACACAGTGGTAGCTAGCTTTTTCAAACTCCACTAAAAATATTAGTTATAAAAGGAGAAAACTAGATATAATCCCCTATGGATAGCAGAGTGATACTCTATCTAGGATGTTTGTTCATTTCTTCAGAGGTAGGGTAAGGCAGTGTCACAGACCAGTGTGCCTGGGGCAGAAAGAAGAGTAAGTGAAAAGGTCCTGAGGCAGTAACATCACTGCTACAAAGAGCAGTGACGTCAGAGGTGATTGGAGAATAGTGAAAAAATGGAGAGTGACAAAAAATGTGGTCAAAGGTTGAAGAGGGCAGATCATATAAGGTCTTATGAATGATTGTAAGGACTTTGTGTTTATTCTGAATATATACAAAGCCTTAATTATTGTTGAGAAGTGACAACATTGAATGCTATGGTGAGAAAATGCTGTGGAGGAAGGATAAAGTCAGAGAAAACTGTTAGGAAGCTATTTCAGGAATCCAGAAAGAGGTGATAGTTAAGGATAGATCAGGATAGTGCTAATGTAGGTGGTGAGAAGTAACTGGATTGTGGACACAACTTGAAGGTACAGCCACTAAACTTTTTGTTTGTTTGTTTGTTTTTAAGTTTTGATACTAGGAATTGAACCTAGGACCTCATGCATGCTAAACAAGCACTCTACCACTGTGCTACATCCCCAGCCCCACTAGTATTTTTGATGGAAGGAATGTGAAAGATGAAAGATATATTAGGATGATCCTAAAGGTTTTTGACCTAAGTAACTCCATTTGCTGAGCAGAAGATTTCACAAAGAAGGTTGGAGTGGGGAGGGAAATGACAAGTTTTCTATTTTGTTTTTCACATTTTGTACGTATTAAGTGTGTGATGCCTCTTTAGGTAGACAAGCTTAGTTGTATTGTAACTTGAGATCTGAATATTCAGAATATTTTCTAAATATCACCAACTGGTTTATGCTTATAGTTTGTAACTGGAGACTTCATTGTCAATAGGCCAATTGGTTGTAGAGCTGCATTTATTGTTGGAAGATTTCCCTTGTAGGAATTAAAAGCTCTCTTACACTTCTACTTATTGATCTTGTTTGAACTTTTTTCAGAATTAGTCTCATCCCTCTTCTCCATTATACACCTTTGGCTGTTAGGAGGGAATAATCTTAAACTATCTGGACCTACTGTAGTCCACGTCTGGAAAGACAATAGGATTAGATCATATAACTTCTAGTTTTTAAACATGTTTTTATAACTTTCCTGTGTTTTTTTGTTTTTATTTTTGTTTTTTTTTTCTGGTAGGGTACCAACAAGCACTTTATGTAGGTCATTTCTCTTGGTCCTCCTAACAGTTTTCTAAGACTTTGCTTCTCAAAGCTCTGGTCTGTGGGGTGGGCCAGCAGCATCAGCAGCATCTGGGAGCCTGTTAGAGATGCAGAATCTCAGGCTAAAACCAGATCTACTGACTATGAATCTATATATTTATAGGATCCTCAAGGGAGTTGTGGGCACATTGAAATACCAGAAGCATTACTAAAAGTTATTGGTATATATGAACAAAGTGAAGTGTAAAGAAGTAAAGTAGCCAGAGGCTATGTATCTTTTTTTTAAAAAAAGAGTTTGGTCTAAGTCAAAGTAGCTTCTTAGGTAGTCACATAACATTTACAGTTGCCTCTTGGTGCCTATAGGACACTGGTTCCAGGACCCCTCATGATGTCAAAATCTGAGGATGCTCAATTACCTTATATAAAGTGATGTTGTGTTTCCATATAACCTATGTATATCCTCCCATAAACTTTAAATCATCTCTAGATTGTTTATAATACTTAATGCTATGTAAATAGCTGTTATATTATTTAAAGAGTGATGACAAGAAAAAATTTATACATGTTCAGTACAGATGCAATTTTTTCTAATATTTTTAATGGTTGGTTGAATCCATGGAAATGGAACCCACAGATATGGAGGGATGAGTAGACTAAGAACTTAGAAGTTATTGTGAAAGAAAAAATATAAAAGTCATCCTTAAACCTATTTTCTCTATTCTGTACTTATGTAATTTAATCCTCAATTGTAGGTTAAATTTATGTAACTAGAGATCCACCTTAGTATTTTATCACAAATTCTGTTTTCCAGGGTACTGGTTTTCCATTCATTCCATCTTCGTATTCTGGAGACTCTTCTGCATGTACCCAAGGTTTATAAAATATTCACAAGGTCTGGTTGTGAAGCAGAGCCTTAAGTCTCATCATTAGTGATCCTTCTCTCCAGATAAATGTTACTCTATTTGGAAAAAAATTTTTAGACAAATGATTTTAAGCTTTGGCTGTATATTAGAAATACCGAGTTCTAACAAACAAATAAAAAGAAAACAACACAAACTTAATAATGACCAGGCTGTATCTTAGACCAATTAAATCAGAATTATCTGAGGGCAGGACCTGGTATCAGTATAATTTTTAAGTTCTTCATTTGATTCTAATGTACAACCCAGTGGAGGACAACTTTGAAACCAGGAGGCAAAGAATGAGAGCACCTAACTCTTCTTGGCTCAGATCACATTTCTTTTTTTGCAAAATTAGGAAAAATGGTATCAAAAACCA